GCGGGACAGACAATCGCCCCCCCTGTACTATCACCCCCATGACACACACACACACACACACACACACACACACAGAGCTGTCAGACGTGGCTTAACATCTGCTGCCTGGCAACATTCTTCAAAGGCCGACACCAACAAACAAACCAACTGCTGGGAAAAAAAAGGACAGTTGGTATGTATGACGTCACCGACGTCATTCTCGGTCCATTCATGACGTGACACAGTCACCTTTTGGCTCGGTTTTATTTACAGATGCGTCGGCGTGTTAATGAGTCACCATCTGACTATGAACGAATAATCTGTCTGGCGTTTGGCTTGATGCCACACCTTGTGAGCTTCAAAATTCACGTCATCTTTCCAACCTGCTCGGCTGACTTTGCTGAACTTCCCGAAACCAAGCTTGCATTCACGCCATCCAAAATGCCCGCCGTCCATGTAGAGCTGTTTAAAATTGTGACGGGTCAGATACAGTCAGTCAATCGGGCGAGCTGTCACCGACGAAAGGCGTCGTCGTTGCGTCGAAGAGCTAAAGTCAGAGCTCGACGACGACTCATCGCCAATCGCATGTTTTCGTGCAAGTTGGCCCATCCCTTCGTTGTAGGTTTTGTCACTCATCGCCACGAGCAAGGATCTTGCGTCCGAAGAAGCATTTTTATTTCCTCTTGTTGGCATTTCAGTCTTGAAGGAAACACGTCAGGAAATGACGATGATGGTGAATTACGTCAGTTCATAGCTGCTATTGTTCACACACAAACGCGCCAAGCTTATTGAAACGCTGTTGCTGATCCAAACGGCAGCACCCACAAGGACTAGAAACCACTTTCAGATCAATTACTGTTTTAATTGTGTGTTTGTACAAATAAGGACCTCTTCCCTCAGATGCAGCCGGCCACTATGCTCGAAGGATGAGTAAATGCTGCAGAGTGGTACCTCTACTTCGGAAATTAACTGGTTCTGAAAGACATTTCCTAACTAGAAAATTTTGGAAGTAGAGACGCATTTTCCATGGAAATGCCCTAATTCGTTCCAAACTCCCCCAAAAATTCAGACATAAGTGTTTCCTAAAGCATAAAAATGCATCAAAATATGAAACTTATACATGTTACAATTAGATTATTGAGCAATAAATGAGAGTTGTGCACAATGTAAAGAAAACAGTAGAGAAGAATAAAAATGGTCATTTAACTTTTAACTGCGTCCTCATCATTTTTTGCCCGGCGTTTTGTAAAGAACCGATGCAAGGACGTTTGCTTTTGTCGGCTTTTAACAATCCTTCAAAAATGTCCAAGTAAACATCAGCATAGTGAGCGATCGCCCGACTGGTGAACACTTCTTGGTGATTCACTTTTACGTAAAACTATCGGAACGCCTCATGGCCCGAGGGGCGAATACTACCTCCACATTCGGTAGAGGTTCCTCTTAGCCAATGGGATGCCAGAAAGATGCTAGGTAATAGCCAATGGCAGAGCAGCTATAAGTATGTTGCGTTCAGGAAACTCGCTTGGTGATTCACTTTTACACAAAACTATCGGAACGCCTCATGGCCCGAGGGGTGAATAACGAGGTCGCTGCATAAACACATATCTATCTATCTCCACATTCGGTAGAGGTTCCTCTTAGCCAATGGGATGCCAGAAACAAGTAATGTATATACATTGTATATACATATATACAGTATTACAATACAATATACAATTATACAATAATACGACACCTCCGTTACAGGCCCACAATCTCTCCTCCTGGGATACCAAAATACCGAGGAAGCCATCCTGTATTTTTACCTTTCGTATCTTGAAATTTCTTTCGTAACAAGAGGCAATAATTTCCCGTTGAGGCGTTTCGTAACTTGAACATTTCGTATGAAGAGGCGTTCGTAAATAGAGGTACCGCGGGCCCACAATCTCTCCTCCTGGGATACCAAAATACCCCAACATGATGACAACTTTGCTCCTTCGATCAAAAGCTCATGTTTATCATATCAGTTTAGGTCCTTTTGCTGTGACAACTGCCCATGAAATGCGCCAGTTGGCTCACAGCCGCACAAGAGAAAGAAAGTGAACTAAATGCACCGCAAGTCAGGTGGCACACTTCCTCCAAATCATTTCACCATTCACACGCTGGTCCGAAGCCTTCTAAATTCATCCATCTTTCGATTTAGTCTTCATTCTACCGACACTCTTTGGACAATTCTCTGCTTTCTACTTGAAGGTGAACGTGTTGTTAGCTTGCTCTCCAGTACTCGCTCACACTCCATTTAAGGCTTACAAGTTTGTCATTTCTCCTCAACAAATGGAAACTCAACACAAAATTAAACACAAAATTAAAATAATAAAGAAACACTCGTTTCAAAGAATGTAGCATCAACTTCAGTTATGTGAGAGTGTATCTTTTCCTTGTGAATGGAAGCAAAATTCAGTTGAACCCTTTGAACAAGCACAGAGCAGATGCATTTCAATTGGAACGCGCACGCACACACACACACAGTCTGTCCATGACTAACAGTCATCTGTGGAGTGTTTATAAAATGGTGTCTGTCACGGAACTGTGTAATAGACAAACACTCTCTATCCAGAACGCAGAGTATGTTGAAAACAGACTCAAGTCAGCCGGCCCACCGTCTGCTTCTAGGCACTTATTTCTCAAGTTGTTTTGGTGGTTTTTTTTTTGTTTTGTTTTTTCTGATGCCCCACGACGACCTTTGTATTGATTTTGGTGCCATTCAATTTCAATATTTTTTTTTTTGATTCTTTCAAAAGGTTTGCTTGTCTATTTGTATGTTTCAATCTGAACGACGGACCTCTGAGAGTAAAGATCCGCCTTCCTGAAAATAGGCCAAGCGCCAACGGTTTAGAAAGGGAAGGATTTTTAAAGACGGCGTTCAGACCGCAGACTTCCTAATCCTCAAATGATTATTTTGATGAGGCGCATGCGGTGGCAACATATGACCACCTACCATCTAAGCAGCAAACAGTTGGTGGTCCAGTTTTTCCGGTTCAGGCGCATGCATTTACTTCCTTTTTTTTTTTTTTTTCTTCAAGATGAATCCTTTGTAGCATAATCCCAAGCCGTTGACAGGTCTGAGGTTGCGAGTCAGCACTAACAAACATTAGCGAATGCCAGCGCGCTGTGCACCGATGTCAAAGTTCATCCGCCGATCAAAAAGACCAAATGAATGCGTTTGCTGCTTTTTTTTTTTTTTTTTTTTTTTTTTTGCTATTCTACAAGCATTGCGTTTTCATTCATAGGAAAACTTTCATGCTTTTTTTTGTTGTTGTTGTTCTTTCAGGAATGGTGCTAATGGGAATCTCGGAAGTCCACAGGAAAGTTTTTTTCGAATGGGAGGACAATGTGAGTACAAGTTAGTTTTTTTGTTTTTTCTTTCCACTGTTTCTTGACAGTTCAAGTCTGACTTAATGATTGTCTTCCACTGTTGCCTCATCACAATATGTTGCCTCTGGCATGCTCACTTGGCAACGTGTTCAGTTGACTCTTAGTCATCGCCCCAACCTTTTGGGGCTCTGTCCGGAGCAGAAGTTGACTCTTAAGGTGTGGAGGGCAAAGAAAATATTTCGACTACTGTACATTAGTTAACTGTCAAGCAGGTGACTGTGTGGCGCCATTAACCTGCATGTGCTGCTACTTTTTTGTGAATGATGCGGACTGTGACCGTGATTGCAATGCAAAGGCAGAACAGTTGAGCGGGGACAAGATGTGAACAAACGACAGTCGAAAATGATTTGAGCAGAACCCGAGTGCAACGCAGTGAACCCCCCCCCCTCCCCACCCCGCC